AAAATACAACTCCAACCATGCTCCCTATTCACCTCCTAAAATAGAGAGACCTCTAGGAACTCCTAAATATGAGGAGAGAGAAAGAACTCCTAGTAGTTCCTTATAATTTAATGATGTTTCGTTTTATGCATAGTTTAAACTTTTAATTAATACAAACTATTTTTTTTTTATAGAGATGATAACCAATCATATTGAATTAAAAAATAACTATAGTATTTATGACTTCCTAATTTAGGGAGTATGATTGGAGTTCAAATTTTATAGAGTTCCTAAATAACTTTTGTGTGTTTTTAGCTAAATTTTAACTAAAGAATAAGGAGCATGACCTTTGCCTACATAATTACTGACTAATTCCTTGTGATCGGGTATTTATTATTTCAGTATGTGGTTGTGAAAGTAGCTCGGATATTGAATGTTGGTGTTGACATTGGACAAGCTGCTATAAACAGTGGTTGCAACATTATGTGATTGAGAGACAGCATGGCAGTTTTTATCTTTCAACGAAAACAATAAGTTTCAAAAAAACAAACCAAAATTTTAATTTGACCTTAATTGTCATTATGGTGATTTTGCTGCTAGCTAGGTCACATTTGCATATGACTCTATTCTTTAGAGAAATTTTACTGGTCTTGTACGTTATAAATTTTCAACTATAATTTTTATAAAAAAAATTGTCAAAGGATTAAAAAAGAGAGCCAAGGAGAGATACTGGTGATGATTATTACTTACAGATGTTGGCTGCGCAAATCTCACGGCCTGGAGCTCCGGGCCGAGGGGATATGCATTAACACGTGGCTTCCTTCTTTTGGATGCGGTGCGGTTGTGCGCGGGCGTGCCAGCACAGTCTACCGTGCATCGAGATGGTGATGTAGATAAAATGGTTAAGTGGTGCGCCTGTTTGGGTTCGACTTCTAATCAAACAATTGTGACCGAGAGAGGAACTGATCTCGGCCGTCAGGTTCACGGCCTGAGCTACAAGGCCGTTTAATGGTGGTGTTGATGGTGGATTTTGGGCGTTGCTCCGGCGCGTTGCTCAGGGAGCGACGGTCGTATGATATATGGGATGAATGAAAGAGTAACAGAGATGGTGCTCCCTTGAAAATCAAGGGTCGTATGATATATTGATGAACGGATTTTCCTTACAATTGTTGGTAATTTTTAACAACAATATTAAAACTTTGCAAGTGCACAAATCAAATGATAGTATAGTGTTCAGTTCATTTTTACACATGATTTTTCATGTTATTCACCCACTATTTTGAGTTAGTTCTTGACATTTTATAGCTTTTTACTTCCTTTTTGTGTT